GTTGAATCAACTCAATCTTTTTGTTTTGAATAACACCTACCTTGGTTGGGTACAACACAATTACTAACTACTACTTAGAACTCGAGTCTGCAAGTAGAATATGATCATTATTATATAATTTCACGGATTTGTTTAATTAGATATGGTCGTGTAATTTCAAATTAAAAGTTAATTATATATTTTAACACCAATACACCATGTATCCCTAAATAATTAGTTAAATCAAACGAGCTAAGCTAGTAGCAAGAACGACAACATAATAATGTAATTAACTGATTAAATGTAACATTGTGGCCTCACGTATATGTTTTTTTGGGACAAACTCACAGTTGGGAAAATTCATAAATGATAAAGGCTGTGCATTTTTTTTTAACATTTTCTTCTTTGTAGTATATTTTTAAAAAATAAGTACATCTCTTTCAAAATAAATGACATAAAATGGTACACCTTCAAGAAATGAGCTTCATTTGTTTTTTTTAGAGGGGTGGAGTAAAGGGAGCAACAATAGTACAATACGAATACATAGCTAATGATCACAATTAAATTTAGGTCTTGAGAGAAGACGGACTTAGTTGCTATCACGTATCCTTCATTCCTTCTATCCAATAAATAAGTAAGTAATTGGATCACTAAACTAAGAGCATTATAATATTTTTATTTTTATTTGAAACGGTACAACGATTCATTAATTTTTATAACCATTGTAAAATTAATGACGTTATTCTTATTTATAATGGGTCTGCTTCAAATGAATAGGGAGGTTAGATCTTACCAAATCCTAAACATTGTCATTATTCCTAATTAGCAAAAAGATTATTTTCGAAGAAATTAAACGAAGTTAATTTATTTTTATCTATTCGTTGGCGTCCCATACAATTTGGCTTAATTATTTGTGACAAACATAAAACAATGACATGTATCGAGCTTAGCTAGGGCTAGGTGTAAATTCAAAGAATGATGCTAGTACTTCATGACTCAGGCCAGCTGCCACATCATATACAATTAATTTCCGTTGACCTTTTAATAAAAAAACAAATATGTAGGGATTTTATTTATTGAAGTAACACTATCAAAGTTTTTTTTTTTTTTTTTTTTTTTTTTTTTTTTTTTTTTTTTTTTAATACTACTTCGTATTATTTTATTAATTTACTCTACAATCTAAGTTGTTAAAACGTTGACCTTATAATATATACGTCATCAAAAAGACACCTAAGATTAAGAAATTAAGTCCTTTTCTAATAATACATATATACATACATTAACTTTACTTAAATTAATTAAGTAAAATATCGTAGGAACTCATCATAATGTCGCTAGGAAGGAACATGCAACTCCACCAACTTATAAAAAACTAGCTCTTATACTTGGAAATTAATTAAAAACATAAGTAATGTGTGCTTTTTACTAGAACTAAACCATTGTCAACATACGCACCATTCTTCATCTCTATTGATCAAATGCACTATTTAAAGTGGCCATATGCAAATGCAATGGAGTGAATTCAAAGGGAAGGTTTTGCACCTTAGAAGGGAACTCGTATCTAGGAAAAATTTATTTTAATAATCTATTTGTTCGGAATTAGTTGTTATGTTGACAAAATTGTTTGTTATATATAATTAGATGCATGACCTTTTTTTAATTTTATTATTATTTGTTTCATTCAAAATCATCTATTATAATAGTTGATTAAAATAATTTTTGTTGTTGTAATGAAATTTATAATTCTCAGCAATTAAAGAACAGGGGTTGAATGATTTGGGATGATTAAAGTATATTGATTGTCCACTATATGCTACTTCCTTCGTCTTTAAAAGTACATATGTACCTTCATGTGATAATATGCTCTTATTACTTTGCCCTCTCATCAATAACATGTAATTTCACTATTTTACCTTTTTCATCAAATTCTCTCAACCAAATATTAAAAATCATGTACTTCGTATATTATATTTGGAGTATACTTCCTCCGTTCTTTTTTTATCGCATCACTTACTACTTTAGGAAGTTTACTTATTATTGCATCATTTCCTTTTTAGAATAAAAAATATCTATGTTCACAATGCAAATACCCAACATACCCTTACTTTTTCACACTTACTTTTTATTTTATCTTACATTACATGGACAACTTTGTATTTTTACGTTTCTCTCTCTTACTTTTTCCCACTACCAAATTTTGCCTCCAAAACCCCTATGATACAATAAAAAAAAACGGAGGAAGTATATATTTTAAAAAAACAGTTGAAAAAAAAAAAATAATAATTTAAAAAAGACAAAGGAGAGTAAATGGTTGCAAGTAACAGAACTGTACCTAATGAGTTTATTTATCTATTGCAAAGGTCGTTCATAATCAATATAATAATGCAATATGGGCCATGATGAACATTGCCATATCAGCATAGTCCATTCAGTTGTAGAGCCATAACTTGGCATGACTCAAACACTAATCATCAATAACTTTTATAACATGTGAATATTAATTTCGAACTTGTCCAAAAAATTAAACTGCCTCAATTATTAAAAGTTCTTCCAATTGGTAAAAATTAAAGATACATTTCCATTTTTTGTAAAGCTTATATCAAACATTCAAACCTAGGATACCTTAATATATACTCCCTTGCTCAGTCTCTTAATGATAGTCCCTTTTGGTGAAATTTTACGGGAATTAATAAACTTAAATAAGAAATAGTAAAAGTATATTGGAAAGATAAATTTACATGGGGTATGCAAAACAGTAAAAAAAAGAAAGTAATAAAAGTATAAGGAAATACAAAATTTACATGAGAAAACTAAATTTGCACAAATATTGTTGCAAATTAGAGGAATTTTTGGTGAAAATTTAATATTAATAGTTGTTGGAAAAAGCCAATGAGATGAATATTTTGAAACTAAAATTTAGCCAAACGAGACTATCATTAAGGGCCGGAGGGAGTACAAGTAAATTTTATAATATAAGATGGCCGTAAATTTATGGGGTTTAAAATTTTAATGAAAACATGTGAAACTAAATCTATTTTATTGAATGATGCCATAAACGTGAACACCACTAAAATTTGACTGTTGCTTGCATCTAAAACAAAGTTGATCAAACTGAAGATATAGTTGAATACAGTATATATACAACTTCCAATCAATTAATCCAATGAGCAAAATCATGAGTTCAATCATGAGACCATTAAATGTTTAACGTTCCTAATACTTCATCAGATACTATATATGTAACAGGATAAGGTTCTTAACTCTATGTTATTACAGAGTACTATACTAATTAATTAATGATATGATATGCTAATCCAAACTTTGATTATTATTAACTCATGTAATTAGAATTTAATCTTCAATTTAATCATTTATGATGGTCCAAAAATATAATGCCTTATTATCGTGTGAATTAATCATAAATCACAAAGTGTAGCTCACGTGTCAAGCGGATCAGTGGGGGCAATGGCCACATGTGCCATGTGCTTAGACATTCATGTATGGAATTATGCATGAAATATACACCAATTTTTATCATGATTAATTACAATTTAAAGCAATGATATAATTATTATTATTAGTAAATATTCTAAACATTTACAAGTTTTTTTTTTTTATTAAAATTTTATTTAACGTACATGTATTTGGAAAAATCATGGCAACATTTGATGTATTAATACTTAATAATTCTTCGAAATTTCTTTTTGACTTTGTCACATATTTATGCCGGCCATATGTAACATTTTGTTTTTATTCTAATTTCGAAACGATTTTTTGACCTATGTTTAATCTAAGTAAGAGTATTTTAGAATTCGAATTTTTCGACAGGAGGATAATTTCTTAAAAAAAACATCTTGAATTAGATAATATAAGAAATTGAAGAAGTCCTTGGAAATCAAGTAGCCGTTAAGAAAATCTATAAAATGGCCAAGAAATGGCCAGCTTAAATACGATTGTCATAATTTGATTGCTCTGACTATGATTAAAAATTTTAGGGAAAACAGAGAATAAATTAAAAATAGAAAGTGATTAAAGATAGTATATTATGATGGAATGTGCAAGTTGTGGAGTTAAAAAAACATAAAGACATTCCAAGATTAGTACTAATCCCACTATGATTGGTCGAAATCTGATTGTAATCACATGAACTCTGCCATACTTTGTGTGAAAATTTGACAACTTGATCCCCTCTTAAACGTGCAAGCTAGTTAATTCCATGACAATTTATTTTGTTTCATAAATTTATTTATGGAATTTGAGTATCTCATACATTAATAGATATTATGAAACTAACATGTATTAATGTATAATTTATATAGAATAGGCAAATTAGCGAATGGACTTAGGTTTTGTCATGGTCAGGCACATGCTCAACTTCCATATCTAAACTATTTCATCCATCTTTAAATGTTATTCCTATTTTGACTTTTTATATAAAACGATCTTGGTCCAAACAGGAAGAACATTTAAGGATGGAGCGAGTAAATGATAACTTTCAAAAGTTATCATTTTTTTTTGTATAATAATATTTTTAAAAAATGCATACTTGAAATTTTATTAGGAGATAGAAAATCAAAATATGGATTTTGGCTAGGCTAATTGAACATGCTTACCTTTAGCTCAATTGGGCTTTTAAAAGACCGCAAATTGTAAAAAAAAAAATTGAAGTCATGATCTTTATCGAGCCCACCATCAAATAGTCAGTCTTTTTACAGAATAAGCAAAGAAAAAACCAAGGTGTTTCTGACTGTGTCTTGGAACATAATATGGCACCCTGATTTTGATGGCTTTTTACAAATTAATAACTAAATTAATCAATAATTATTTATTGATTAGATGCTCTAAATATTGCTCTTTTGCACGTGGAACTTTTGGTGGTTAAAAGTATTAATACTTTTGGCTAAATCATAAAAAAGGAACATATATTGGAAATAAAACAATTGCTAATGGACAAATGAGAAAATGTATATTCTTAATTGTATATTATATATTCAAAAACTACCTCAACATAATTATACGCATGTATAAAGAGGTTTTGATTATAAACATTCATAATATCAACTTATATTATTGGCAAACTTTTGGTGTATTATGCTGTATTACAACAAGTAAAGAATCATAACATAATTAAATGTTACATCTGAAAAAGTTTGTAACACTAAAAACCTTGATCTTGCTGATATCGAAATTCCTTGTGAGATTACCTTCCTGTATGATACTCTGTATTAAGCTTCTGTATTTAACATTCGAGGTGACAACGTACATGGAGTTTGTTAATCTAATAGGTTGTGCATTATGAGAAAATAATGGTGTTCACAATTAAGTCGGGATGGCTCAGCAGGTTCCTGCTGCCTTACATGGCCATAGTCCCTGGATAGGGAGGTGGTTCCTTCCATTATAGAAACAGAGTTCGCTGATAAACCCCTTCTTGAAGAACCTCCCGAACATAACCAGTCCGGATAAACAATAGTATATAGTTAGGGATATACTCCATACACTCTCAAGTTTCGGTTCCATTTTTCATAGTGTTACAATTCTTTTTCCAGATACCTGAGGGCTGTAATAACATTTTGAAGTTCAAACCTTGAGTGTCACTTATGCTCCCCTGTTAGACACATTGGGAAAGGTTAAATAAAAAGTCATCTTGTTAAAGTTAGAAATCCAATCATTTCCAGCTCTTCTAAAACTGACATCAAAGTTCAGACTACATCCTTAAAACATTCACAGGCTCACAGCAACAGAATGAGAATAATACCTTTTGAAAATGTTCTGATATTCAAGGGAGTGTTACATACATAGTTACAGATCATATGGAGCTTATTTCATCTGTTCTACATTGTTAAAAAAATTCAAGATGTTACCTTCTTACACTTCTTGGCAAGCCTGGTTGGCATTGCAGACCTCTCTCAGTCTCTCTTTCGTTTATTGTTTCATTGTTATCGCTATAGTTGCCACCCATGCTTGCTGCAGGCTTGCCTTGAGCTTGCGGTGCGACTTTTATATAGAATTGTAGCCTCCATAATGTGGATTCACTCTATATGTCAACGGAAAAACATTCCTAAAATGATCTGACAAGAAGCTAGCCTGTGGGGCAGACAATATATCCAGAAAAAGACTACCTGAGCATCTATAGCGAGGTCCACCTCCTCAGCGCATTTAATACAAAACCAGGATTGCTCAGGACAACAATCTCTAGTGCCCCACTGAGATCATCAGTGGATAGCCTTGTGACTTGTGAGGGCTACGCCAACCTGCCTTTCCTCTTCTGCTGACATTTTCCTGAAATTTGATGATTCAAATTCAGATTAAAAAATGCAGAGAGCAAATAGACCAATGTTCAACCAAAAAACTTCAGAAACGCAAACCACTTTGCTCTGGTGAAAGCTTAATTTACAGTCAATTTCAGCTAGTAAGCAACAAGAAAGCAACCAAAAATATTAGACACAGAAAGAGATAATTCAATGGCTGTTCAAAGAGAGAGTTCAGGTTATATCCTGAATGAGAAATTTTCTAACCATAAAAGATCTGGGAGACATGTCATATTCATAACTTGAATATCATGAGTCATTTTGCATTTTGACATTAGAAACAGCATGGACATCCTCTGCAACACAGACACCTCTTTGAGGGATAATTATAGGGTCATTTGCTTTAAGTTTTGCTTACATGGGTTAGGAGCAAAAAAGAATTCAGGCTTCTTACATGAAATATCTCTAGTCTGTTCAGTTTGAAAGTATTTTGGGTATCAAATTAGAAGTAGTTTGCAGGTGGTTTCAGAAGTATTTCTGTTACACTGTCATAGTTTAAAAAAAATAAGAAAATAAAAAAAAAATAAAAATAAAAAAATCTTAACCTCAGTGATCTCATGCAGCATGTTTGACATGCAAGCTGATTGGATAATTGCTAAAGATATTCTAAAAATTCCAGAATTCCAATGAAATAGTCCAATCACTCCGAAAAAATGGAACAAACCTCGTTGCTTATATCCCAAGTCATTTTGGCATAAGTAGACTCTTGAGCAGCTGCATGCTTAGCTGTACATCAGCTTCCTCTTCTTATCGTCTATTATCCTGCAACAGCAACCTGCCTTTTTTTTTGAACGAGAAAGAATGATAAGATACGACAAAACTTAATAACAAACAGCAAACTGTGCTCACAAAAAGAATGGGTCTTATTGATCACTGGAATCTCACCTTTTCCACAACTCAGGTAAAAACTGTAGCCACTTTTCTTCGAACTTTGCCAACAAGGTTCTTGCCATGACATGTAGATCATTCTTTTCATTAGTATATTTCATAGCATTCTTGAAAATCAACCTCACATCTGCACAGATCTCCCATACATGTTTATATCCACTATCATCCTTAGCTTCCATCTGTTTCTTTATTGTACAGAAATACATCGGGATTTCAATAACCTGGTAGCAACAGAAAACTTGAGGTAGATAATACCAGCAGCCAAATAGTGTAAAAGGCACACAAAAACAGATACCTAGGGGGAAAACAGTCTGTAAAGGGTTCACAGCAAATTGAAGAAAACATTTCAAGTTCATCCATCAATAAATTAAACTTTTATCTGACATTTTGTTCTCCCCAAGGTAGAACTTTGACAATTAATTTCTCCAGATGTACGTTAGAAAGAAGTGAGGGAAAATACGAAGACAAAACAAACAATTAGTCTTACAACTTCTAACAAATTAATGACAAACAATATCAAACTATAACCACAAAGATCAAACAAAAAAAGGTTTTAGGAAGAACAAAGCAGCATTTACAGAATGCAGTGAAAAGAGTTAAACAAGTGAAAGTAATAGGGAAAGGATTTAAGATTACCTCACAGCAATCATTCAAACCGGCCTTTAACATCTAAAGGCTCAATAAAAGGCCATGCTCACTAGTGTTAAGTGATCTAAAAAGCAATACTCAAAGTGAATGGTTCAAATCACCCAATGTGGCCTCTCACAGTATCATTCCACATGAAGAATTCATCCTCTTATCATTACCGACTTCGGAAAAGTAGAAAAAGCACTAAAACTAAAGGGTATATTCCACAATTTTGGATCAATTTCAGAAGATTTTCCCAAAAAAGAAGCATTTGTGGGGAATGCCTCTTCGGATTATAAAAAGGTGTTTAGAACAATAGGTCCACAACTTGATCAAATAAAGGCTCGAGATGGCATTGAGTCAATGAACGGAGGCGTATCTACAACTAGCTAAATTGATAATTAATAGATTAACAGTTCAAATAGGACTATAAGTAGGGAATGTCTCCTGAGATTATAATAGGGTGTTAAAAACCACATACATCCATAAGTAGGTCACATAAAGGACTGGAATGAGACGTACCTATGAATTGATAGTTAAGATTCAAATCATCCAAGTCACCTCTCGGGGCCTCATTGGATCCTAAGAAAGCACCTTGTCCTCTATTATTTTCACCTTCTGAAAAGTTGAAAATTAACAAAAATAAAGGCTTACAAAAGTGATGTGTATATGAGGAATGTCTCTTAGGTTTACAAAAGAGTATTTAGAACCACATATATCCATAAGTCAGTCACATAAAGGTTTGGGATAGCTTTGAGTCAATGATAGTAGGCGTGCCTGCAAATGTGTAATAGACTAACCTAAGGAGGGATAGTATAGGTATTTTAGTAATATTAGGTTAGAGTTCTTAGCTTTAGTGTTTATTATATATAGAGAGAGGGGGGAGAGGATCAGAGAGGCAGAAATTTGTATTGAGGGAAACCTTAGAGAGTCATGGCCTAAAGCCATTGTTGGAGAGTTGTGAGCTAAACTCACTATTGGAGATTAATAGCCTTAAGCTATTAAACCTATCGTTTGTAATCCTTCCACCATTATCAATCAATACTAAAGCTTCCATTTTTATTTAAATTCTTCATATTCAATCAATTTACAAAAAATCAGATTATATAGTTCACTCAAAGAATCAGTCTTTTCCTCTCTATTTCCTGATATCTGCGTGAATTAAGTTAGCAGTAAGCTCAGTCCATTACAAAATGGCTAAATTGTAATTAAATGTCAAAGTAAACATTTCATATCACCTTCTCCAACATTTTCGACTTTGAAAATTTTGAAGATTCACTAACATTGAAGACTAAATGCTTTAAGATCAAATTCTTCCAACTTTTAAAAAAAAAATATTATGCATACGTAGGGAATGTCTCTGAGGCTTTAAAAGTGTGTTAACAACTACATACATCCACAAGCAGGTCACATAAAGGACTAGAATGGCTTAAAGTCAATGGCATGAGATGTATCTACAACTGACTAGATTGAGTGTTAAAAGCCAAAGTAAATGATTCAAATCATCCAAATTGCATCTCGGGGGATCCTGAGAAATCACCTCATCCCCTAAATTTTTGGACTTCTGAAAAATTGAAAATTAACTAAACTATAGACTATAATTCACGATTTGGATCAATTTTGGAATTTATTTTAAAAAAATTGATGTGCTTGAGGGAAATGTTTCCCGGGCTTACAAAAGGGTGTTTTTAGAGCCACATACGTTCACAAGTCCATCACATAACGGCCAATGATACATAGCTTTAAGTTGATGATAGGAGGTGCGCTAGCAAGTGGCTGTTTAGATAGTAAGAAGTAAAGGTCCATAGGAAACACCTCATCCTCTGTCATAACTGATTTGAAAAGGTTGAAAATTCAGTGAAACTAAAAGCAAATCCATGATTTGGTATCTATTTCGGAATTTTTTTCCAAAATTGAAGTATATGTTGGAGTGTCTCTTAGAATTATAAAAGGTTTTTTGGAATCGGATACATCCTCAAGTCGGTTACATAAAGGTTGGAGATGACATTGAAGACTAAATGCTTTAAGATCAAATTCTTCCAACTTTTTAAAAAAAAAATATTATGCATACGTAGGGAATGTCTCTGAGGCTTTAAAAGTGTGTTACAACTACATACATCCACAAGCAGGTCACATAAAGGACTAGAATGGCTTAAAGTCAATGGCATGAGATGTATCTACAACTGACTAGATTGAGTGTTAAAAGCCAAAGTAAATGATTCAAATCATCCAAATTGCATCTCGGGGGATCCTGAGAAATCACCTCATCCCCTAAATTTTTGGACTTCTGAAAAATTGAAAATTAACTAAACTATAGACTATAATTCACGATTTGGATCAATTTTGGAATTTATTTTAAAAAAATTGATGTGCTTGAGGGAAATGTTTCCCGGGCTTACAAAAGGGTGTTTTTAGAGCCACATACGTTCACAAGTCCATCACATAACGGCCGATGATACATAGCTTTAAGTTGATGATAGGAGGTGCGCTAGCAAGTGGCTGTTTAGATAGTAAGAAGTAAAGGTCCATAGGAAACACCTCATCCTCTGTCATTTCTGATTTGAAAAGGTTGAAAATTCAGTGAAACTAAAAGCAAATCCATGATTTGGTATCTATTTCGGAATTTTTTTCCAAAATTGAAGTATATGTTGGAGTGTCTCTTAGAATTATAAAAGGTTTTTTGGAATCGGATACATCCTCAAGTCGGTTACATAAAGGTTGGAGATGACATTGAAGACTAAATGCTTTAAGATCAAATTCTTCCAACTTTTTTAAAAAAAAATATTATGCATACGTAGGGAATGTCTCTGAGGCTTTAAAAGTGTGTTAACAACTACATACATCCACAAGCAGGTCACATAAAGGACTAGAATGGCTTAAAGTCAATGGCATGAGATGTATCTACAACTGACTAGATTGAGTGTTAAAAGCCAAAGTAAATGATTCAAATCATCCAAATTGCATCTCGGGGGATCCTGAGAAATCACCTCATCCCCTAAATTTTTGGACTTCTGAAAAATTGAAAATTAACTAAACTATAGACTATAATTCACGATTTGGATCAATTTTGGAATTTATTTTAAAAAAATTGATGTGCTTGAGGGAAATGTTTCCCGGGCTTACAAAAGGGTGTTTTTAGAGCCACATACGTTCACAAGTCCATCACATAACGGCCGATGATACTTAGCTTTAAGTTGATGATAGGAGGTGCGCTAGCAAGTGGCTATTTAGATAGTAAGAAGTAAAGGTCTATAGGAAACACCTCATCCTCTGTCATTTCTGATTTGAAAAGGTTGAAAATTCAGTGAAACTAAAAGCAAATCCATGATTTGGTATCTATTTCGGAATTTTTTTCCAAAATTGAAGTATATGTTGGAGTGTCTCTTAGAATTTATAAAAGGTTTTTTGGAATCGGATACATCCTCAAGTCGGTTACATAAAGGTTGGAGATGACATTGAGTCAATGACAATACATACATCTAAATTAAAAGTGAAGAGTCAATGTGAACAATATAAATCACCCTAGTAGCTATTAAGGTCTCATTAGGTCCATAGGAAGCACCTCGTTTCTAGCTTCCCATTGAAGTTAGGAGTTCTACATAGGACACATACAACTACCCTCATATGAAGTAAACATTATAAGTTTGACTTAGTAAGGTTGGGAGTTGGGACTCAAAATCTTTCACCAATGACTAGCACCAATTTCTTACAACCATTTTTGAGGAATTTGCTCATACCAGGCATATAGAATGTGCCAATCGGCATGCTAAAAATTACAAACTTATTACAAGCAATCTCAACAAACATGGAGAAAATATGACCCTGAGCACAATTATTTTAATTGAAAATTAAGAAAAAGTCCTTTTACAAAGACTACACCAAATGAAACTTCATTAACGACGAATTAGTCATGTCTCAGTCAGCTAGAGCTAGGAATGGGTGTCATAAACATTTGTTCAGTGCCATTATGTAAATTCAAAGAAAGAAAATAAAATTCAGACCGTACCATCAATAAGAAAATAAAATTCAGACCATACCATCAATTTAATATCTTTCACAAGGTTCTCATCTCATGTTGGGAGGGTAGGATTAGACATATGCATCTTTTATCATACAAATGGGCTCTTCTAGCTATACCTCGTGGCTTGTAAAGATAAGGGTATACAAAGTCATGTACTCCATATGAGTTTTTACATAGATAAACCCATATATTCCATAGGACATACATGTATTTCTTCATTAATATGAATTAATCACTCATATCACATCTCTGAGAAAACATTAGGTTTGATGATACAAACATATACATTAGATATTCACATGGGACATTTTGTGTCAAACTACATACAAACATACTTCTACCTAGTTTATTTACCTTATGGCTTATACTACATGGATTTTCAATGTTATGAACAAACAAATTCTGTCAACCTAGAGTAGAATTGCCAAGTCATATATGGATCAGTATCCGTTCTAGACTTCTCATTTCAACCAACATTAATGAAGAAATTTAAGAGTTAGGCCTCTAAACTAGCAATTTACCAAACAAATATTATTTCTCCGTACTAAATTGAGCTAGGATTAGGGAAAAATCACTAAACTTCAAAATTCAGAAGCAAACTCACATTATTGACTTGCGACAAAGTCGACACGATTCTTGTAACCTTCCCTTCCACAATCACCCATTTTCAATTGTCAATCCTCATCTTCCATCTGAAATATCAATTGCACAAAATATTTAGCACATGAGCAATAATCTACAGTCTCCGCAACAAGAAGCGTAAATTTATAGTTAAAAAAAACGCCATTTCGACGAAAACCCTAAATAAATTCAAATGTTTTCTAAACATTTTGCAATCTTTCTACTAGTCTTAAACATAACCAAAACTTCAAAAATCAAACACAATTCGCAAATTAATTCCAAATTCAACCCCAAACAAACATAAAATCATAAATTAAATCTAAAATGGGCGATTTATAATCACAAAAAATCCAAACTCAACAAAAATAACAGAATCAGAACGCAAACAAATATGATCAGAACAATTAAAAAAAAAAAAAATCAATGAATTAATTCAATAGAAATGCTAAATTACGTAAAAAATTTCAAGGTGAATTTGAATAAGTATCTTCGAATTGAAGACACGAGAACAGGAGAGAGAATGAGCAGAGTGTACTGAAAGTATTTGGCGAATGTTGAGATTTTCTTCTGCTGCTACTATGGCGGCAAAATGACTTTCTTCTCTCCCCTTTTTATTCTTTCCGTATTTACTCGATTTTTTTTTTTAACGGATTTTTTCTTTTTTATTTGACTACTTCCTCCATCCATTTTAATGTTCAATTTCTTAAGAAACAAAGAAAAAATAATACAGTACGATATGTCAATATGAAGCATAGGGGTTGTAAGTGGGGTCGTTGATGAGAGACAGAGACATAGAGAAAGCAAGTGCGGTTATAAGAGATAACAGTTATACAGTACCAAATAAGATAATGGAACAATTTCAAAGGGACACTCCATAGAGGAATACAACAGCTAACACAAATCCTTAGTGGGCTTATTGTCTTTGTATTGGACCTATTGGTTAATTTGACCAACTAATTGCATTAATGGTTTGTATAGAGAAATTTGACCTTACAAGGTTGTGTACAATTTCAAGGAAGGCTCATGTTCCAAATTCTAGATAATCTTGATATTCTTATTTCAATTTGCCAAAAAGTGTAATTTGTACATGCCAATGATGAGTAAATCTACAATTTAGCAAGCATTGTCAAGTTGTTAATCACAGTTCACAATATGAAACCTTTGCGAGGTATATTATTTCATTGGTTATATAATATTTCTAATCTTTTCTAATTCGGGTGAGTAAAGGTACATAGGATATCTACATATCAACTTGTGAAAAATCAATCAATCACGTCTCACTATACAACTATACAATATTGGATCATAAAAAAGTTTGTGCCACGGATGGAGTACCAGTAATAATTACAATTAAGAATAAGAACTTCTAATTGCGACTAATGCTTGACATTAACAAGCTCAACATCAAATATAAGAGTTCCTAATGTCGATCCTTCTCCATTGGCAAGACGTGTAGGGTTGAAGATTGTAGTGAATAATCGTTGTCTGTCGAAGAACTAGTCCAAAGAAAATCATCAATACACTAGCATATACTATGTAAGTTATAATCTTGTACACAAGGAAATTAAATGTAGTGTATGACATACATTGGGTGGTAAAGGTTCTTGAGTTGTATTCTGATATCCTTGAGATGGAGGAATTATTACTCTTCTAATGCCACCAACTTTCATTGATCTTACTGTTCCTTCAATCCCTGAAATTACCTATGATATACATAATAAATAGTTACATAATATGCCATTTAATTTCTTTAACTTAGTTATTTTTAACTTATTAACATTTTATTTATCTAATGTATTGAAAATTGTATTAAATCTAATGCAAAATTACATTGTTGGAGCCAAGAATGAAGATGAAAGGAATTGGTTCACCAGTTGGATCTTTGTGATCATATGTTGAATCAAAACGCCAACCTTGCTTTGCTGCTAATCTTCCATAATAATGTATTGCTACCTACTCATTTTAATCCCTTGCCAAATTTCATTAGTGAATTCACATGCCATAATATGGGATTAATAAAGAAAAACTATACGAAGTATATATAATCGCCAATAGGCTAGAAGCAACACTTTCTACATTATGCCATGTCGTCTCGAAATAATAGGTTACTTTCCGACTTTAGCATGTTACAATTTTAACTCATCCCAGTGTAACCAATACTTGTATTATGTAGCAATAGAGAAAATATTAATAAATCAATATGTTCGGAATATTAATAAATCAATATGTTCGGAATATTAAACATGTTTGGCAACAAAAAGTTAAGGTAAGTTTGGAAAATTTAAGGCGAAGAGAATAGAGCCTAAGTCGAACCTTGTCACCATTGACAGGGATGGAACCGGTACCTACACGAAGGTCTAATGCCTTAACACCACCGGAATTCGGGAGCTCGTAGAATTTACCAATTGCATCACTTGAATTATTAGGAGTTGATGAAAATGAAGCAGCAGAAAATGAGAAAAAAGTAGCAGGGGATATAATTGATGTTATGATACAAGTAGATAGCAGCAATCTTCTACTGCTACTTGTTGGTTGTTTAACTAAAGGAGAAGAAGAAGATGAAATAATGGAGATTTTTTTTGATTGTTGAGATAATGCTGAGGAATAAATGGTAAGATGGTGAGGTACATGGAAGGATATCATAGTCATGAAGCAGCTGATAAATCAAGTGTTTATTTCTGTAGCTTGATCTTTATTTTATCTTGTTTTTCAAATGAAAGGACAGGAAGTCTTCTAATTAAAGGTTTAAGATACATAGATGTTTGTGTTGTGTGTACCACTAGATCATAAAGTGACAAAATCTTGACCGTAGATTTCCTCTTATTATGCCAAATTTTGTTAAGTTTGAATGCATACATGCTACGGAGTACATGATAATTAACAGCGAGTTGGAAACAATAAAGAATTAATGTAAGTGAGAATTTGACATAAGTGGGAGGGAGGAACAATAAACTAAAGGAAAAAAGTTATGCAGGTTAAAATGTTTGTATCGATTTATGTAAATATGAATATTATTATATTATCATAAAACGAAAAGAATAATTATTGTATAATGATACTCTGTAGTTAAAGATATTTGTCGTTAAAGTTTTGCGTTGGAATAAATGTCTTATTTGATTGAAACATCTATACTAAATTACTAATAGATTCGAACACCCAACCTCTTGTAGGAAATATGGTTATTTAACCATCTAAGTCAATTAGCAACTATACTATAAATATGAAAGCAAGGGGGCATTTGGTTAGTGTATTTTTTTTGGATTGGAAACGAATTCCATTAAACCGATATCCTTATCGTGTGTTTAATTTGAAGGCATGGTAACAATTACCATTACCCTTAGGTAATGGTTACCCCTCATTTGTTACCTCTCAAAAACTTGGGGTAACAAATACCCTTACCTTACTCTTAACAAATAACTTTTTCATGGTTAAATCAAACAAATGAAAAGATAATAGCTAAATGATTCCTTTCCACCCTTTTATTTGTTTCCTTTATACTCCATTTTCAATCATTTCCCGAACCAAACGCACCTTAAATGTATATAATTAAAAATCACAAGGACTAATTAAAAAAGAAAAAAAGACACTAAAAATGCAACGCTCGAGCCATATACTAATTTATTTTAAAAATGAGGTAGTACATGCATCTGAATGTACTCTGTAATAAATTGCAGGTAATAATATTAATGTACTTTGTACTACAACTACCATAGTAGAAATAGTGTAAAATCATTCTTGCAAATATCACTAGATCCTTCATTGAATGAAAATTATGAAGCCCAAAAAAATTGAAGGACAAGAATTGAAGACCAAAAGAAGGCACCCTACTCATTTCTATAAATTGATGCTTTCTCCTCCTCAACAGTCCATCAAGCTGGTAATCTTTCTTTCTTGTTTTTTCAGTAATTCAAACTACTAATTTAAGCTAATTGGTTTTATTTATTCATTTTTAAGTCTTTGGTGAGATCATTTCACACGGGTCATTGATTTAATTTCATATGCTGTCTTCTAATTTTATTTCATAATTTCCATTATTATCAATTCTTTGATTATATATTGTGAAGGGGTTGATTGTATTTGTGAGATAGTACAGCTATCCAATGTTAATTTGCAGTTTTTACTCATAATTAATTAAATATGTTAATGGTGAAATTAACTATTGACAAAAATAAAAGTCAAAATATTATGAGGGTAGAAAATAAGAGGAGGAAGTAGTATAATGCCTGTAATAATATTAAGATAACACAATTATACACTTCTAAAAGTAAGATCAAATAACATATACTACCTCCGTTACATATATTATGTGCAACTTTTGGATATTATTTGTGAGAGATAAAAAAAATTCAAAAATTGCACATAGTATATAACAGAGGTAGTACTGTACATAACATTTACAAAGTATGTTAATTGCGTTGGGTTGATTTGCTACCAATATGTTCCTTAAGTAGTTAAGTTGGTAATAATCTCAAAATCCATATATACATACCATTTTTTGCTAATTGAATTGAATTAATTTGTTACCAATGTCTTCCTTGAGTTGGTGACAATCTTAAGAGTGTTTAAACAGTCTTATCTCATCAACTGCATCTATACATCTAATACATGACAGAGGATTCCGAAGAAATTTGCAAGGACACGGCGCAATGAACTCTCTAGTCCAGTCATCCTTACGGTTCCAACAGGTGAAACCCGAAAAGTGGAGTTAGTAGAAGAGGACAATGATCTATGGTTTAGAGATGGCTGGGAGGACTTTGTGGAGTACTGCTCCATAGGCCTTGCTTACTTCATGTTGTTTGAATATGAAGGGAATTCTAACTTCAAAGTTAATGTATTTGACTTAACTGGTTTTGAGATATCTTATCCATTTAATGCGCGTTCTTATTCTCGTATGCAACATGAAGGAGTTGATTATAGTGATGGTAATGACAGTATGAAACACGAAATTATGCACACATCTTCCTTTAATAGCTCGAAAGCATCTGATGTAGAAGTAATAGGACTAAGTAGTGAAGACGATGAATGTGTTGGTGATGATGAAGTGATGGATGAAACTAGAGAATGTTTTCCATTTGGTGAGTGGATATGTTGAATAACATGTGTTTAGCTTAATTTATCGTCCTCTTAAGTCTTAAATCGAGGTTAGATTACTTGATTTAGTTGAATATGCAGGGTATCCTTTTTGGTTGAAGAGGTTTCAAGGGCTAATCAATGTTGTTATTGCTGCTGGAATTCCCTTGCCAAAGAATCCTTTCTTTGTTGCTGCTATAAAGGAATATGTTTTGGGCAATGGAAAGTACTTGGTAAGTTTTATGCAAATTCAGGTTTATTATGCTTGTATAGTTGTATCATTCTATGTTATGCTAAGCTATGTGGAGTGTACTTAGTAAGATTGTTTAAAACACGATTTCTTATTCGTGCAGAATATTCCTAAGGCCTTCGGTCAAGGGCACCTCAGATGTGAGATATACCAAAAGAAATCTGTTAAGCTTGAGGCATATGATGGAAGGCAATGGAATGTTGATTGTGTTAGAGACAAAACAAAGTACATTTTTAGTCGAGGGTGGATTAACTTTGCGCGACAGATTGGTTTAGAAGTTGGAGATATCTGTGTTTTCGAGCTAACAGATGCAAAGAAGCATGTTCTGAGAGTTCATGTTGTTAAGAACTCAAATACCTGCAGGGTTTCTGAAGATACATTTTGATGGCATAGTGCAAATTGTGTTACTCCTGCTACAACTTCTGTAATGTACTAATAATGGATATAAATATTAAAATATGTAATGGACTCTTAGCTCCATTTCAAAAGGTCCTAACTAAACGGACTCTAATATCATGTTAATATTGTATGGCGTATGTTGTGTAAGTTCGTGTTGTTAATATTGCATGGCGTATGTCGTGTAAGTTCGTGGTGTTAATATTTTGACACTTTATAGCTGTTTTTTTTTTTTTTTTTTTTTTTTTTTTTTTGGTGAGAATAATTTATCCAATTAATAATAGGAAATTAGGAATACATGATTTATTATTTTATTTTTTTTTAACAAGAAGTAGTACGTAAAATAATTGAAGATATTAATCATGTGATTGGATTTCGTAGGAAATTTTAAAAAGTGTTTGGTTAACCATAGGTTTCTCTAGATAATTTACTTCTCAATTTCTCATGAATTTATCAATCAATACCACAAAAGATTTCCAATTTCTAGGAATTTCAACTTCCCATGTTTTTTTTTTTCAACTAAATGACTTTTTTAATTTTTTCTTACCAGTAGTATTTATGGATTTATTAAAGGTCTATATATTTATCTTTTTACGTTTTTTTTTCGTCTTCGAATTTTAGTGAAGGATATAAATTAAAACCGCAATACTTTAATGCCACATCGAGAGTTCCAAGTTACAATTATTATACTCCATATTATAAAAAAAATAATAATAAAAAAACAAACAAACAAACTCTGAGACATTGCCAACTGTGAGGTCTATTCAAAATTTCTACGGTCAATTCATCACAATAATAAATGTGGTTGGAATTACCAAAAGCGCGCTAAATTTACAGTGAGGTTGACCGTGACAAAGAGTAACCATGGAATGCAACAAAGAAGAAGAGAAGATAATTCATCACAGAAAACCTTGCTGCTTTTTCAAGCTGATTCTCTTCCCTAATTCACAATCTAAGAAGTTGGTACGTAAATTTGTTATTTTGTAATTTTTATTTTTGCTAATTTAACGTGCTATTGATGATAGATAAAGTTGCGCTCTTGAATTTCTTAAAAAAAAAAAAAAGGGTTGTGTTCTTGATTTATGTAGTATTGGTGATATGGGCACTTTTGGCTGATCAAGGAAACTATCTTTGATGCACGGAAACTCTCATAAACGTCGTGATAACCCGTCTAAGAACAACAAAATCGGGGATTATTGGATTAAGTATATGAAGTATTATTAGAATTTGTTGTTACAAAAAAAACGTTACTAGTTCAAATTATCCTATCAATGCACACGATGAATTCTAAGAGTGTTTCTATGCCTCTAGAGGTTAAGAGGTCATATTGCCATGTTATAATTTAAGCACCTAGGCCTAGCAGTGTAGCATCGACAAATGTTTCTGATTATTGGGAAGTATTGCATTTTCATGTTTTCCTCGGGTCTTGTAGAACTCTTGACATCAATTATGCTTGTATAATTATGTTCGTTGTATAAATGATGCATAAATGCAACTTCATATATCTGATGCTTCAGTTACTTGTAATTTTGCATAAACAAAGACAAACAGGCCGTGAATCATTTTTATTTTTTCTTCTGTTGTAATATTTTGGTCATGTACAGGGGATTCCGGAGAAGTTTGCAAGGGCATTCCGCGAAGAACTCTCTGCTGTTGCTATCCTTACAGTGCCTACAGGTGAAACTCAAAAGGTTGCATTAGTCGAAGAGGGCAACAATCTATGGTTTCATGATGGTTGGCAGGATTTTGTGGAGTATTACTCCATAGGCTATGCATCCTTTTTGCTGTTCAAGTATGACGGGAACTCAAACTTCAGGGTGCATATTTTCGATCCATCTGCTTGTGAAATATCCTATCAATGCAGTGCTCGGATTGCTTTTAAACCACAACTTGATCCTTGTCCTGAAGAAATTGATGATGATGCTGAGGACAGTCGCGAAATATTGCATTTATCATCTGTTGATGTGAACAATTCTGATTCTGAAGAAATTATAAATCTGAATAGTGATGATGAGACAAATGATGCAAGAGAATACAGTCCATTTGGTATATAATTTACTAGAAAGGTTACTGAATTTAACCAGTTTCTGCTTTGTAGTGATGTTAAAGCTATTCTTATGGCAGGGTATTTTTGTAACTTGGAGAATAAAGAAGGGATAATGAACACGGTTGCTGCTGCTGGAATTCCCTTGCCTGATAGACCTTACTTTGTTACTGATATTAAGACGTATGTTCTGCATAAAGGACTGTACTTGGTAAGTTTTTTACTTGGATGTCTACGAGGTGTGATCTGAATGTGCTTTGGTGAAGCTTTTTCCAACATTAAAATCCAATTTATGCATAATTCTTGCTCGATGATCTACCTCTTAACATGCACATAATCTTGCAGAATGTTCCTGTGTCTTTTTGTCATGACCATCTCAAATGCAATGTGATGCAATCAAAGTTCATAAAGCTTGTGGCATACGGTGGAAAACAAGTGACAGTTAAATGTATAAGAAGTCAATCTAGATGTACTTTTGGTTCAGGGTGGATCATCTTTGCGCGAGGGGCTGGTTTGGAGGTAGGAGATGTATGTGTTTTCGAGCTTACTGATGCAATAAATTATGTGCTGCATGTTCATATTGCTAAGAAGTCACAGATCAAGGCTGCTGCTTGACAACTCTTAAGCCCCTTGTATCTTTTGGCTTAATTTGAGCTGCATTTAGATAGTAGGATTATGTATTTTGTGTACTTGTTTGTTAGTAGTATGTAGTATCATGATATATTTTGTATATGTCGAACCATAACAGTCGTGCATTAGGTGAAACCTTAGTTCAATCTTTGCACTTTCTGAATTTCAATTGCATATTTGGACATACAGATGCATACAGACATGATTGACACAATCGAGTAATGGAAGATTTAATTCTTGAAATCAATAATATGTGAATCTTTCCAAATAGATCACTAATAATCGATCTAATACAAGGCTAGTAATATTTATGATGTAAGCACACACAATATTATGACTGCATTGTACACTTGTACTGCTCTTGAATTGAATTCCAAATCAATAATATATGATCTAGTAGTAATCATGTAAATGGAGGCTTCAATAAATATCTTACAGCAAGCTTTTTGCTGCATGAAGCCAAGAATAGACCTATATAGTCATAATTGATGACCTTGCTAATTTACGGCAACTCTAGATCCTTTGGCACGGTTTGCTAATGTGATCCTGCTCTTCGAGCAGGTTGCCAATAATGTTTCCGAGCATGACTCTCCATTAACCATGGAATCCAAATGTTCAACTATAATATAAGAATGATGTAACTAGGATTTGATGACTCCCAAAGTTTCTGGTTTGAGTGAGACAGAATGCCTAGCATCACCAATGTGAATTTTGTGATCACCCAAGGGAATTCGCCTAATTCCTGATCTATCCACCACACTCAAAAACTTGCATACATGGATGTGGACACTGACCCTCTGCTGGGATCCAGCAGGTACGTGGACCTTCTCAAATGCAACGAGTTGCTTGCGTGGAGCCCACTGCCCTGCTGGTGGCCTTGAGAATACAAGAAGGGTATGGGCTCCATCCTTGGATCCTTGGTTCTTTACATCCACGTGTACAGACAAGGACAATTGGTTGCACCTTGCATGGGTCACACGGATGGCCTTGCCGGCATTGCTGGCATTGGACCTCCGGTGGCCATCTAAAGGTACTACAACCTCCAAGGGGGCATCAGCTATTGTGTGGATGAAGTGGGTGTAACTTAGTCCATATCCGAAAGGATACACCACGGGCCCTTGGTAGAACCGGTAGGTTCGGCCAGGGTAACCTGGTCCTGAGCGCATTGCCATGTTGGTCATAGGGAGATTGTTGAGATATTCTTGAGGGTACCATGTCATTGGCAACTTACCACCTATAACAAGGAGTATATCATCATAAACATTACATATAGATATGAAAATTAAGATTCATAAAACGTGTATATACTAGTCTTGCTGTTACCTGGATTAGTTGTGCCAAAGAGGACATCTGCTATGGCCTGTCCACCAGCTTGGCCTGGGTATCCAGCCCATACAATGGCCGATATTCGTGGGTCATTCTTCGCGAATGAAATATCCACAGGCCCACCACTCATCAAGACCAAAACTACGGGCCCTTTGGAGGCTGCAGCCACCTTGGACACGAGCTTCTGTTGTTGGCCTGGTAAGAGTAGCCCACCTCTGTCCCTGAACTCTGCCTCGATGGACTGGTCAAGGCCCATAATGAGAACCGTTGCATCCGCTTGCGTTGCTGCAGTGATTGCAGGCCCAAATTGTTTGTCATCATTGCAGCCCACATTTGCACAGCCTTCTTGGTGAATTGTCTTGGCATACCTCCCTATTCCTTGAAGTGGGGTTGTGTACCCACATGCAATACCTAGATCAAGTCAAAAAAACAAATAAGCAATTTGGAGTAATGAATGTGATTAAAGTTGTCAATTCGAGTAAACAAGTCGACATTGTATTTGATTTTGTGTCGATTTTAAATTGTTTAGAATAATATGCCAACCCAAAAAACACAAGCCCAAATCCTAGCCAGTGCTAGATAAAGCTAAATGAGCACGAACATGAGTAGACAGTCTAGACACAAGCTTACCAGCGTAGTTGCCAATCATGGTCACTGTGACATCGGAATTGGGCCCAATGACAGCGACGGTACGGTGACGAATATGGGACAATGGAAGGGTTGGGCCGTGGTTCTTAAGAAGAACGATGCCTTGTCGGGCGGCTTCAAGGGCCAACTCTTGATGGGCTGGAGAACATACATCTGCTGGACCAAGGTGGCCATATGGTTGGGCTGATGGTGGGCCATCAAACATTCCCAACCTCATTTGGACTGTCAATGTATTTGTTAAGGCGTTGTTTACATCTAATTCAGTCAGTAGGCCCTTCTTTATGGCATTTTCTGTGTGGAGCCCAAGGAACGGCCCACAGTCCAAATCCAAACCTGTAACATTTGTAACAATAAAAAAAATGTCATTAAATCTTATTATAAGTATTAAAGTACTATATGAATATAAATAGAAATAAAATCTTATAGTATAAAATTGGAAAAGGAAAATTGATTTTACCTGCTTTGATAGCATCAGCAGCAGCTTCTTGAGGAGTTGATGTATAATGTTGGTTACTGTAGAAAACTCCAACTGAGTCACAATCTGAAACTATGTATCTGTTTATGCACCAGAAAACAAATCAATTTTGTCATTTTCAAAGAATAACGCATAAAAATGTGCCACAAGTAGTAGTCGATTTCTAGGTAAAATTAGTAATATGGTAACACGTTGTGGCTACTATTGTAAAATTATTCCTTTGATAACTTATTTTGAACGTATAACGTAACAAAAGACACCTAATTTAAAACTAAAGTAAATTATTAAGAGATTAAGAAAATGTACCCATTAAGGCGCCAATCTCCTCTAATAGTGTTACGAAGGAGTTTAGGGTCAGCACAAGTAGGGATGCCATTGACTTGATTGTAAGAGCACATGACACTCGCAACTTTGCCTTCCATCACACATTCTCTGAATGGCACATCATATGTATCCACCATGTCTTGTTTTGTAACCTGTCCAACCATGATTATATCTTTAGGAGTAGTAACACTCAAGAAAAATAAGTATTTACAGTTTCATTTATAGTAATTCACGCAACGTTGAAACTAACATACCCCCATCAAACATGTCTAATATCTTTAGACGTAGTAATTCAAACATAATGAAACGAACATATTATTAAGCATGTGCTATGTTATGAATCAAAAGCCTAATTTTACAGAATTATATCTGACCATTGTTATGTGGAGTATTTTTATAGCTCCGCCATCATTAACTAATACGAAGTATTACTGTACTATATAGGAATCTCATTTATGTGAGACATTTAATTAATCAAATCAATAATTACCATTGAAAAAAAGATCCTCATATTAATTCTTCAATGCAATTTACTTATATACAAGTATGATCTTTGACTACACGCCTCCTTTTTTAAACAAGTTGGCACGGCCCACTCTATCCAATTATCTATATGTCGGCCAACTTGCACAACTTGCTACATAATGCTAACCAGAGATATTATGTTGGTTACGTCGCTACTTATACGGATAAAGTATTCTTTCTTTATAATATAATATACTATGATTAACATGATACAAATATAAAATTATTATAGTATTATTAATATTTTATAATGTGGGTTATTGTTTTAAGAGTTTATAGATCAGTATGTCAGAGGTAATTCTCGTGAAGTATTAGTACATTCCAAATCTAATGCTTACTTTCATTTCAACTATTTCCAAGATTTTCAAATTTGCACAAAATTTCAACAAAAATTAAAATTGTTTTCTATATGAAATTACTTTATAAAATGTACTTTATTTTCTTGATCAAATATCCCACCTAGTGTTTATTAAACTCGACTAATTATTGACCTGATCATCGGGAATAAAATCTGTGCTAGAATTTACGTCATACGAGCTATCTTTTAACTTACATTATCATATCTAACGTGTACACAAAAATTGTAGCATGTTGCACCATTTTAATTATCATATGTTACTCACATTATTATCATACGTGTGATATGATTAGTTTAATCCTTAGGATCAACATAATTACCACATTATATTAATTATGACATTAAAAAAAAAAATACCTGAGCATTGAAATGGAAGCGATCAACACCACTCCAATTATCAAGGTCATAAGCAGTATAGTGTTTACAAGATGCAGCAACTTTCAACCGGTTACCGTCTGTACCCTGTAAACCTCTGACATAACTGGCAGCGTATTTACCGGCAACAACAGGGTCTTCACCGGGAGTCTCCTGTCCACGGCCCCAACGTGGGTCCCTCAATATATTAACATTAGGACTCCAATAAGTCAGTCCTCCCATCCCTCCGTTGTACATTGCTCTTGCTTCATCTGACACCACCTTCATTTTCAACCAACCATAATTTCAATTAATATAAATTTATGAATATCTAACAATCTAACATAAACAATTATTATTATTGTTAATAAGGTTTATAATCATGTTCGACACAATTTAAAGATGCAACATGACAACAGACTTATAATCTACTAGAGCACAAGACATGCTGACACTACACATAGACATATATAGCCTGAGCGTGTCAAGCTTTGACTACGGTTTTTTTTTTTTTTTTTTTTTGAAATTTCCTGGTTATTTACTTTCAATATTCAACAAATCAAATGGAGCCCACTTTGGATGATACTTCAACTTCTTCGTTAAATAAATGATGTCCAATGCAATTTGCAAAGGACTTTATATCATAAGGTCCATTGAATTTGCTGAATACTAGCTAGTGGCTAGTAGTAGTACTCACCTAAATTTAATTCCTAACAAGTTGAATTGGTACGTTATATTGAATCTTTAAAGCTTCAAATACAGATTCTTTTGGGGTTTAAAAAAAAAAAAAAAAATGAAGTAAAACTTGATGACATTAATTGAGTATACAGAAAGTGACATTAGGAGATAAGCCCTGAAACTTTAATTACCATTTGCATTTGCTTAGGATGTTGTCCGAGGGAAGCAAGGTATACTACTTTAATTTGTTATTTTCTTTCAATGTGTTATGTTGTTTGTTATCGTTCTGAGTATTTAATATTAAATTCGTGAATGTTAATATATATATATATATAGATGCTCTAAAAGGAGAAGATAGATCTATAGTATATTGCCATCGAAATTTTGATCCAATAACAAATATCGAAAGCTAAAGTTATTATGGTGACATTTAAAATACTGTGAAAAGTACGTTTTGCGACACTATATTACTGACAAGTGACAATGGTTACAAGACTTACGGCCTATATTTTTTTTTCATAAGAGAAAAACACTATGCATACCAAATCTTAGAAATTAAATCTACCCTACTCTAAAGTCCATTATGAACAACGCTTAACATTACTTACATCATACGCATGATATATGGATTATTAGTTTTTCAAATTTAGTTGGTCATCTAAAGGAAGAAAATTATAAACAAATTATAAACTTTGATAAAACAAGAAATATTAAGCAACTTATTAACCTCTAATAATTTACCTTTCACATTCGTTAAACCAACATGTGCATGCATGTTTGTTACCTACTTCATTGAAACTTGAAAATGAGTAGGCAATAGTATCTAACACATAACACAAGTTGCATTATTATAGTCAGTCTTATCTACCAAAAAATATGCCAAGTACATTGGTGTAACATCTTTTATAATTCTATATTTAGCAAGCTTAATTATTGTATATGAGTTGCCTGCCAAAGCCAAACTGATAAACATCTTTTATCACTTTAAAAGATACTTTTCTACCTTAAAATGACATAAGCTAAAGTTGTTCTTCTGAAATTTTCCTCACTCCATTACCTAAAACAAAAGAAAAATGCTTCCCTTATCGTTCATTTTTGTATGTTTTGGGATTGCGTTATCTTTACAGCACCCTCAAAAAGAAAAAGAGAAGGTATGTAGTCATCCCGAAAATAAATATTATCGTAATATAATATTCTTAAAATAAAATTGACAGATGACAAGTAAGGGATGTCTTGAGTTTTACTCTAGAATTAATAGTGACTTTTGATTTTTAAAAAAGATAAACGTGACTAATTACAAAATACGGAGTATATACAAAATAAATTATTTGTTGATCTAACATAGACAACAAAAAAAAATCTATTTATATCCAGAGTATTTTATACTTCGTATTAATTGTATATAGCTATGTACTCGTATTTAATAAGGTTGTCAACTTCGCGCTACACGAGTAAAAGAATACTCGTACAACACAATGCAAGTTTGCAACCTTGTTAATTAGATCATGTAACATGTTATAAAAGTAACCAAAAGACGGCAAGAAAATAAACATACCTCGTATAATTGTATGACATTAGAAATTATATTGTTGCAAAGGCAAAGGAAGAAATCTCACCCGTCCAATTTCTTCCCACAAAGAAGCATTGAAAGAGGCAGCAGTTGTAATAACTTGAGGAAAGCTAGTTGCTCCAGGAAATTTCCCTCCAAATTTAGTCCCTGGTCCTACATTAGACACCCCATGTAACGCCTCAGACCACCACTCATAGTCCTGAATTCCGAGCCTCGGGACCGAGGCGGCATTGTCCACCAATAGCTTTACCTTCTCTTGCAATGTCAACCGCCCAATGAGGTCCCGAACACGTTCGGACACGGGCAATCTGATTTGACAAAACGGGAAGGCTCGAAACCCTGCACGCTTGGGGTTACAAGCAAACGGGGCCCGGGCCTCCCCGTTTAAAATAAAAACACTTCCAAGAAGGAGATAGAAGAAAATAAGAGTGCCTTCCATTTTGGGAAGGAAGGATTTGATATTTTGTGCGTTTGGCTTTAAGGTTTGTGAGTGGATTATGAAAGTCTGTGCTTGTATATATATATTGTAAAGCTATTTGAATATTTTATTATTATTTTTTATTTATTAATTTAAAGGGTGGCTAGAAATTAGAGTATTGGATATGATGATATTAGTAGGATGATGTGATGTGAGAGGAAATATATTGGGTGATATGATATGGATTTTCTTTTAAAAGTGTTGTTGGTTAGATGTTTGGAGAAATGGTACTAATATATTTGAAGTAAGGAATTAATTATTTGACAGCCAAGAGGTGGGGGAATATATGGAAAAAAAGAGCAAGTGAATTATTTGAGTGGTGAGAAAAAAATAGCTGTAACTAGCAGTTGGTGTGAGCAATTATATGACTTTTTACCAAAACTGGTTTTTTTCAATGATTTCAGTTGTTTACTTCTTAAACCAATTAGAATCCTTACTTTCACAATAATAATGTTGTCATTTTCATTTTTACCGGATTTATTCACTTTGCTTACTTCTAAAGTTCATAATTAGTAAATCAGATCGATAAACAAACACATAATTTTTAAATACATACGACGTATAAAGTACATCTTAAACATTAATACATAGTGGGTACCCATCTCTCAATCATGAGATTTGTAGTTCCCTGCCCCGTCCCTCTCCATTGTCATGATACCTCAGTACCTCACTGATCATTGTCATGATAGAGACATCTAATAATAGTTCATCATATAAGAACATGAAAGTTTTCGATTTCTTATTATCGACTCCAAACATCATGGCAATTACTCTACAAAAATTAAATTATGGCCAATTGTGGAGTGATGAAATAGTGGTGTACATACGTTTAAGTTGCCAAAAAACCAAACAAATTAAAGAAGGCCATGAAGTTATGGGTTGTTATTATATGCATGCCCAAAACAAAAAATTGTGAAGTTAGCTATTGGAGGTTGGGGCCAATATATTCTGTAGGACCCCCTCATAAATAGAGGTTATTTCGTATTTGGATATTGTTATTGTGCCTATTGAAGATAAGAGCAAGTCAGATGTGCTTTTCTGATCATCATCAGTTCATGCAACTTTAGATTTCTACGCAACAAATTATAATCTAGTGGACGAGCTTTTTGGTTGGGTTAATTAAGCTAGTGATAGAGACTTACCATGAAGTGTTTTGGAAGATTATATGGCCGGGATCGGCAGATTTTATCGTGGTGTTCATGTAGATTTACATTTAATTCGACCTGAAATGATAATGTTTCAGATTGAGTATACCTAAGGAAATGGAAGCTAGTTACGATTTATATAGAACTTTGTTTGATGTTAATTGTACTCGACACCAAATATGACTTGAAATTGATATCTAAACCGACTAAACTTGAGTCATACTCAACCCGGATCAAATAACACTTAAGTAGACATGATATGAAATTTTTATTCAAAAAAAAAAAAAAAAAAAAAAGTAGACATATATTTATTACTTCTATTAGATTTGAATTCATACCTAAGTTCTTCAATTAACTTGGTTTAGAGTCAGCCAACTTATCTTGGTACGATTCGATAAAAATTTAGCTATAGACAATATAAACCAAATAAAATTACAAAATTTTGTGATGGAAAGTCTAGTCATTTGCAAGGTACAAGTAGTTGCTATTAAATTTTAAAATAATATTTTCCCATACAAGAAAAGATAGAGCAATCACAATTTACAAATGACACAACTCTAGCAACAATTGATGGTTTAAATGTAACAAGATTGGCCTAACATATCATCATAATATCACATACTATATGATGCTATAATAGTATAATACTAGATAAGAAAGCCAGCTTGTTGTGTCCCGCTATTGACTCACTTTGGTGGCTCCAATTTAATGTAGAATGGGCAGGCTAAGCACAAAATTTGTTATAAGGGATGCATATAATAAATTTGTTCTTTCACAATACCAAAAATGTGGGACCTTACCAGCCATTTTCCGTGATAAAAATCCAACTAAAAAAATTCTCACCCTAATGACGAAGATTAAAGGCATATGTGGAAAACCTTTGTCTATCATTAAAAAAAAAAAAAAAAAAAAAAAAAAAGAAAAAAAAAAAATTGTTTTTCTAATGGTATTTTTATAAATAAATCAATAAAAATATTTCAGTTATCATGATATTTTCATAAATAAATCAATATATATGGGCTCATATTTAATAAAAAGTTATTGATTTGATTATGTAAATGTTACTAGATAAAAATTGTTGATTTATTTCAGAAAAATACGGCTAAAATCTCATTGTTATATTGACTCATTTGGATCAAAAGCTCAAAAAAAAAAAAAAAAAATCATAGTGTAATTTAAGCTTAACACACATACCGAAAAAATTTACTTCTTCATCCATACAAAGAGCATGAGCATGAGCAAGGGAATTGGACTGCATGTATACAGATTTGGGCTACTGGGTTTTGGCCTTGAGAAAGGCAACCTTAAGTCACATATAGTTTCTCCACAACCCAGCATAATAAATGGAAATACTTTAATAATTTAAGAAAAAAAAAATCACCAATCAATTACGAAGTATAATCTATTATGTTAAAGTTCGTATTATGTATGATTTGGGTGTGTAAATTGGATAGACTATCCAATCTAAAATTTTTGGATTCGGGTATTAGAATTCAAGTTTGATTCAAACTATTCACAAATTCAGTTAGGTCCAAACTTTATGTATGAATTCATCCAATTTCATCCAAATTTTATAATGATAAATTTTTCTTTTATAGCTCAATTATAGTCAAATAAAAAGTAGAAATTTTTTTTAAAAATACAACTTTAAAATTTGGACTTTAAGAGACTGAGTTCATGTTTAGTCCGGAAATTTTTAGATTTGAAACTTTGAAATCAAGTTCAATCCAAACTTTTATAAATTTTGTCTAGTTCAACAAGTTTAGACGGAATTGATTGAAATTCAGACTTCTGTCCACTTACCCATATAGGCCACAATGCTCCATCTCATAATATATATATATATATATATATATATATATATATATATATATATATATATATATATATATATATATATATATATATGTATATTTGAAACATAGTATACTATATAGGGTTACTACTTTAAAGCAAATACTTGTCCCAATAATAGTATTCCATTCTACGTACAAGTATTTGTTATTCACATTTCACAATAACAGTATTAAAATTAATTTTATATGGAGTACTTATAAAGAGAGAAAAATAATTTTCTTAGCATGTCAAGCCATTTTATTTTTATTTTATTATTTTTTTTTTGGTATGGTGCCTAAATATACTTATCATTGCTTACAATACAATGGACCAATTCATGAAAAAAAAAAATTAAAAAATGCAGCCATGAAATGATTATTACTACTACTATGCTTCTTAATGGCTTTGAAGTCACCAAAGAGAGTGGATGGAATTGTCGATGATTTGTCAATTGCTTAGCTTAAAAGTTAATAGAGATCCAATTGCTCAACTATTGTAATCTTCAACACATAATGGTTAAAATAAAAGTAGTAATTTGCATTACCTTTCTTAGATCTTACAAAGTTTCAGCATAATTTTGATGGATTACAAAGTTACAATTTACTAGCTTAGTAGTCGTTGTACTTTGGTGCCTCCAATTTAATGTAGAATGAGCCGCAAGCACAAAATATTGTTCTAAGGGATGCAGCCCCGTTTATGAGATTTCAGTGGCCCGGGGCAAAGATATAAATTGGGGCCCTATTTCACATGAAATACCAAAAAAATTTAAAATTTTTGGGTATGCAAAAAAAAAAAAGATAAAAAAAAGACATTTTATTACGATTGAAATCAAAGTCTAACATTCACATGAAAATATTTCTACGAGCATCTGGACGCAAAGTCACTAATAATCGTTTCTACATCAATATGTTCTAACATATTTTTCTCAATACATAAAGTAGCTAGACCATTCAACCTTTCTTGTGACATTGACGATCTCAAATAGTTCTTTAGTAACTTCAACTTTGAAAAACTTCTTTCGGCAGATGCAACTGTTACCGGCATAGTTAATAGGATTCGATATGCAATGGAAACATTTAGATAGCAATCTGCAGCTTTGACAAATTCAAGGATTTCAAATGCTGATATCAAATCATTTGGCAAAGTCATTTGTAACACTTTCAATTCAGAAAAAAGATCATCTACATCAACATCAGAAAAATTATTATGAGTAAAGGTAGTTTTAAAATTTGTGCAGGATTTTCTCAAATCATCATTATCCAACAATTTCAAACTTTTTGCATCAAACAAAAAACCAAATATGTTATTAAATACCTCCAATTGCTCAAATCTATTTTTCAAAGAAGCTATTGCAATATCAACAACCACCAAAAAATAATTGACTCTAAAAGATTCCTCGGGTGATTGTTCCTCATCATCATTTTCACTCTCAATTTCATCAAATTGCCTCTTTCTAATGATACGACGCTTTGTTGGAAATGTTGGCTCTATATCCATATCAAGTGCAAGGTTTTTGGCAATTTCCAAACTAGCTTCAAACCCTTCAATTCTATATTTCTCAAAATATGTGATTATACCCTGCACTTCATTCATTAAAACTCCAACACTCATGGATTTAGATTGCAACTTTTTACTCATAATATAATTAGCAAATAAAATGTCATACCAAATTACCATGCCGAGTAAAAATTCAAAATTTGCAAGCGAATTAGCCAAACTTTCAGCTTCACTTTTTGTTTTAGCAATATTAACATCATCATGACAAGAATTGTACAATTCCAACAAAGCTAATCTAATTTGAGGAGATTGAAATCTTATAGCTCTAACACTCTTAATTCGACTCTCCCATCTTGTATTACACAAAGATTTAACAGTTAAACTTGGCACATTATCAACTAAAATCTTCCACCTTTTAGTGGAATGTGCAAATAATGTGTATATGCGTTGTACAATTCCAAAAAAAGATATAGCTTTAATGCAAGAATGTGCCATATCTGAAAGAGTGAGATTTAAACTATGACAAGCACATGGCATGTATAAAGCCCTTGGATTAATATCAAGCAATCTTTTTTGGACCCCTTGGTGTTTTCCTTTCATATTAGAGCCATTGTCATAACCTTGTCCCCTTATATCATCAATATCCAAATCAAGAGACTTACAAACATTTAACAATATATTTAAAAGTCCCAATCCAGAAGTATCATCTACTTTTAAGAATTCTAAAAAAAATTCTTCTATTTTGATTTTATCATCTGATACATTCACGCATCTTACTATAAAAGTCATTTGTTCTTGATGACTCACATCAGGGGTACAATCAAGGATTACAGAAAAATATTTT